GGACATCCTCTGGTAAAACTAATCCAGCTCCAATAGGGCTTTTTTTAGAATGGCGACAAACTGAGTGTGAAATTTCAAAACCAATCCAGCGCCTTGTGAAGACGGAGCTCAAAGGAGGGGGTGATGGTTTGCTCAATAACAACAAACTCCTCTTAAGTGAACAGATGTGAGCTGCATGCGCGGAGAACATATTACATGCAGTAAAGTTAAACATCACCTCTTGCCAAGGAAAACAGTCCTGTTAGCTATAGATAGCATTTCGCTAGCTTGCTTGTTTGCTTGTGCTTGCTTGTTTTGCCATTGAATTCTAGATGTATATTAACACCGATCAGGCATAACATTATGACCATGATGTGTTAGTGTGTGTTGTGCTGGTACGAGTGGATCAGACACAGCAGTGCTGCTGGAGTTTCAAACACCTCAGTGTAACTGCTGGACTGAAAATAGTCCACCAACCAAAAATATCCAGCCAACAGCGTCCTGTGGGCGGCGTCCTGTGACCACTGATAAAGGATTAGAGGGTGACCAACATAAACTGTTCAGCAGCAGATGAGCTATCATCTCTGACTTTACATCTACAAGGTGGACTGACAAGATAGGAGTGTCTAATAGAGTGGACAGTGAGTGGACACAGTGTTTAAAACTCCAGCAGCACTGCTGTGTCTGATCCACTCGTACCAGCACATCACACACTAACACACCACCACCACATCAGTGTTACTGCAGTGCTGAGAATGATCCACCACCCAAATAGTACCTGCTCTGTGAGGGTCCATGGGGGTCCTGACCACTGAAGAACAGGGTAAAAGGGGGCTAATGAAGTATGCAGAAAAACAGATGGACTACAGTCTGTAACTGTAGAACTACAAAGTGCACCTATATAGTAAGTGGAGCTGATAAAATGGACAATGAGTGTAGAAACAAGGAGGTGGTCATAATGTTATGCCTGATCAGTGTATATAGGGTGAATATAAGGTGAGTTTAAGGGGGACGCACTCTTTTGAAGTAGTCCAGCTCAAAAAGTTTAACAAGTTGTCCCCAGACGTCTTCTCACTCCAAGATCGCATCTGGCTCTACAAGATGATGATTGGAAAAGTTCCAGAATTTAAGGACTGGGTGAAAGTGCCCCTTAATAAACCACGGATGATGAGAGGGATGTGTTGGGTTGGTGAAAGATCACAGCAGAGCTTCCCTCTTGCTTGTTAAGCTCGCCTGAAGTCTGTTAAGCATTTCTGCAGTAGCAGGAAGAACTTTAGCTTAGCAGGGTGGATGCTCAGGTACAATCAGCAATTCCTCAAAAATACTGATAATAAATACTGTTAGTGTATTACAGACGTGACTTTCTGTTGATCAACTCAAGCTCTTAGTAACAAAGTAAGGCACTGAAAAAACGTGTCAGATGATTAAAGCAAGCAGGTTCAGGTTGGGTTCAGGTTTCAAATTTGGCAGCAGTCAGGCCGGGTCTCAAACACACCCGTGTGGTCGTCTTGTTATTTTATTTCCGTCCAGATTGGCCATGTCAGTGTTTTCCTCCCTGCTCCCCTGAGAAAACCACAGGCCAAATTACCTACTGTTTTTCACAGAACTCAGCAGCGGTCTGATTTAGTCCTGTCCGATTTTCCAGGCAGATGTCACCTCACGTTTTTAGTGTGGGTTTCCATATTAAACATGTCCCGAATCACAAAACGATGGATGTTCTGGAAGAGTCTCTCAACCATTTAATTGGTCTCGATCTTCAACTCCATTTTCAGAGATAGCATTAGCAGGAAAAGAAATGAAAAAGGCATAAGAGTGGCAACCCGCAGCGTGATTAAAGAAGCAATTATAATGGCAGTAACAAGCATATTAACATGGGCCCAACATCATCAAATTCTAGTTTTCTAGAAATAATGGCCACCGTCATATGACCACGTATGACATTCGTCGAAAATACAACCCACTAAAAACTTGCTTGTGCTTTTATCGCCATCCGAATGTGAAAGTTTTATCACTGAGGAGACGTAAAAAGTGATGAGCTAATCCAACTGGAATAGGGCTATACACGCCTCAACCTAGCTTTTCATACAATGAGACAAGAGCCAATGCAAAGTAAAGCATCCCACTCCGCTGGCTCCTGCCACCTGTTTGCATTAAGCACAAAACTTTAAGGCTCACTGTCAGAGATATCATTGGAACAACACTCACCTGTCTAGAGTCTATCCTATCCCTATGCCCTATCATGTCCACCATGGTCTGCCAATGACCATCGTTTTGAGTTGCTATTATTACCTTGCTCGAGGTCTCAGTCCAAACTCTTCAATATATGGTTCCTCTGTGGTGGAACGAGCTACCTAGCTCCAGTCACCACGCGGAATTTCTTGCAAACCATCAAAAAGCTTCTCAATGTCCTGTTTTTCTGTGAACACTTGATCATTTGATCCGATTACACTTATATCTTTTGATATAGCTTTATTTCTTATTGCACAGTCTCCTTTACATCGTATATCGTTGAGCTGTACACTGCTCTTTGTTCTTACCTCTTACAACTGCCCTGCACTGTTCCTGAAATATGCATGTGTAGCTGCTTGTAATAGCTGTACGCTTAAATTATACTTGCCTCGCCTGTAAGTCGCTTTGGATAAAAGCGTCTGCCAGATGAATAAATGTAAATGTAATGTGAATGCAAAGCTCTTGTCCCAGAAGAGAGCAGGAATATAACCAAGTGGTAGCTTTTATGAACATCATGCTACAAATCAATACAAGTTTCCCAGGTCGTTCCTGACCTAAATGTTGCACAATTAGGTCATAATGACAAGTGGGATCTTCAGAAACATCATGATCTCTGTGCTTCAGGATGGAGGAAATGACAGTTTCAGTGGTTTACAGTAGATAATTGTAACTAGAGTTTGTATTGTTTTTTGTCCTGCTATTCTCGCATTTTGTGTGACGTCACACTGCATAGTTTTGAGTACCGAATCAGGGATTCAGCACGATGCCTTCAATTTGCTGTGCTTTGGGAATGATTCACCAGCAAGACGCGGCAGAAGCCGAGAACGACAAGAGACACACAGACCTTTAATTCAGTGTTTTCACACTCCAGGCTCGGAGCCGCTGCACCGTACAGTTTAGTGTTTCTCTCTGCTGTTCACACCTCGTTCAGCTCAAGAAGGGATTAATTAGCTAATAATATCAGGTATTTTAACCAGGGAAACCTCAATTATGCAGTGCAGGGGTTGCAGGACTGGAGCTGAACTCTGAACTAACTGCTCTAGCAAACTTACATCACGTCTGTTGAAACACAACGTAGTTTTCCGACCCACGACATTCAGTCTGATATTTAACGCTTATGTTTCTCCATTCAAACATCATTTAAATCTCCAGAAACAGAGAGTAAAGTTATACCTGGCTGTTTGCAGCTCCATTAGGGGGACGACTGTTCATCTTTCGGCTGATAACATTAGCAAAAGTTATCTAAAGGCTAGCATTGATCACATCTGTGTTAATTAGCTGATGTCGTTACCCTCCTATGATGACAAAGAGTTTTTTTCTCCTCTTTATGGAACACCATGGGATCCTTTACCCACCCTGACGTGAAGAGCCGGTGGGCTTCTGTGCTTTTAAATGCCTTGAGAGTCTCTCCAGAACAGGGAGAGGGGCTGAGTATGAGATAAATATAAATGTCAGGAAAACACAAATTTGTTAGCTTTCCACTAGTTTAAGTGGGACCAGGAGTTCAGGGGGGGAAACTATAAGGATTGCAGCCAATTTCATCGACTTCGTCAAAGTAACGTTTTTCTCTTCCAAAATAAGGTGAGTAATTTTAGCCGTCTTCCACCTCTAGTTACGCTCCTGCGGAGCAGCAAAGCCAGAAATTCTGTCCCTAATATGGCAGCCACAACAGAAAAATTATGTAACTGAAACCCTAGGATACTGTACTCTGAAGCACAGCATTATATCCCTCAACCTCAGTGTTTTGACAGAATTTACAAATGTGTATAATTTTCAATACTCAGCATTCATTACATGAATACATCATACAAGCACTGGAAATCCCTGTGGTGTCATCCAATCGTGACCTGCCTAGTCACTGGCCTACAGACTAATTGATACAATCAAGCTAGCATTAGCTTGCAACTCTTGCTAACACTCTGGACATTTGTTTATATCTGTAACATCATGTACATCCTCCAAAATGGGTCAGGTTAGCTAACTGCTTAATGATATAGGGGTGTTTATCAATACGCTCAGCTAGAAAATCCTCCATGGTTCTGGATGCAAAGCACCTGTATGTAAAAGACTCTGTATGTAAAAGACTCTGTATTTATGTCTTTGCAAGTGGGAAATAAAACCTGGTCAGCATGTGGAAGCAGCAACTTTCAGCACCCGTGTCTGCTCTGAACTTTTTACATTTCCAATCTTGAGGTGCGACTCATGCATGCAACCACAATTGCATCCCCTTGTGAGGAGCTGAAAGGCTTTGACTGCGGAAATCAGCTCTTATTTTTATTCTTACTTTAAAGTTGCTTAAGCCAATTAAAGGACAGGGTATGCGGAAACGGAGCCAGCTCCAGAAGGACCCCCCCCCCAACACCTCCCCTCACCACCAAATGCAGGCACTTGTGATTCTACTCATGAGGCTGAGGGGGAACATGATCGGTCTCTGCTCAACAGCCAGAGGGCTCCTGCAGAGAGGGCATGATTTGAAAGGAGCATACTGCAGCCATCGCTGTGTATGTGAGAGAGAGACACTAACAGTACTAGAGTACAGAGAAAGAGAGAGAGAGAACAAGGTGAAAAGTACAGTTTGGAGAATCGACCTTTTAAATGTACCACCTAATGCGTATTGAGGATATTTATTTTTTCTCTGAAGCTGCCATGATGTTAGCATAGTAGTTCTGTTATTCTGGTATTTTCACTCAGCAAAGAATGAGTACAGTAAAGAAAGATGAGTACAGTGAAAGAGAGAAACTGGACAGAAGGATGGAGGGCTGTATTTACTCAGCTGAGAGCTGGGGTCTCACCTGGACTGTCCTTGATTTATGAGCATGTACATTTCCCAGGAAGTGTCCTCAGCGATCGCCCCATGGGACACCAACAGGCTGACTCCTACAGAAACAACACACACAACATCTGCCATGAACTTAAACACACACAGGTGAGAACAAGCCTAATGTGCTAGAGTTCTGTGCCACTTCTTTCTTGTAGGACAACTTTCATGCAATTTCAAACATTTTGCATATTAAAGAATGGCAGTAGCTCAGTAATCACATTTCTCAATGCATGTGAACTCTTACTCTGATTTCTTTCGCATGTCTCAGTCTGCGCATGCCCGAGAACAGACCGCGGTGCCAGCTATAAAAAAGCGGCACTGCCACGAGACGGCAGCAAAACACTTTTGGAGCAGCGCTGAAACCAAACACGAAATAAACGATTTAAATATTTTTCATCTTCAAAATGATGCATGTTCATATTTTCAGGTAAAGTGGCGCGATGTTTAAAAAAAGCCGCGGCATAAAGTTTGAGTTTTACGTTATATTTACGTCGCGTTCTTCTGTGAGTTTATGGCTGGTTACAAAGCACAAATCCGATTACTGTCTGACTCATGTGGACCCGGAGTTTCCCATCATCTGATTACTCAAGTGCATATAAACGCGTTGATCGGATTACTGACAAAATCTGAGTTTTGCAGTTATCATATTATTAAGTGCATGTAAACGCACTCAATCTGTTTTTTGTATGCAACTATTAAAGTACAAGCCTAAAGTGGCCAAACTAGCTGTTTAGCTATTTTCCTTCTTAGCTCTTATGGTCATACTCTTAAGTCCTTGAATTGCCAGGCACATTGCATCACAAAACATCCTATTCAGTAACTCAAAGGGGAAAAATGGCTTTACGTTGGCTTGACAAAGTCATTGCTATGAAATGCCAGGTGGTTGCTAATGTGTTGCTAGATTATTGCTATTAGTGTTGCACAGATACCGGCGCCGATACTGGCACTTAAACGCAGTATCGTAATTATAGCCTTTAGCCTCGATTTAGACTTTCGCATAGCAGCCTGCTTGCTGGGCCTGTTCGTCTACTAGCCCCACCTGCGGTGCACCTCTTTTGGTCAGGTGTATCACACAGCAGCGGGGTCTCGTGGCCTGTCACTTCAACCAAGCCAGAAAAACACTTAAAGTTGCTGATACTGACATCGTGAGATTATCGTGATATTTACTGAACTGACACTCAGAGGTGCAGCACGAGTGAACAAGACACAAATGACTTACAAAATTTGGATGTGAAACAACACTCAGTTCCGTTTTTGAGCCAGAGAAGCTGCTGTGTGCTGATGTGTAAACACCAGGGGTTTATCTATATACTGTTTAGCTCTGTTTTTAACAGTTTTGCACAATAAATATATTTTACATTTACTTAAGTTGTTAAACATGGTTCTTATTATTAATTATATAATAGTAAATATCAAATATGTACAGTAAATAAACATAAATGCATTTTCTTAAGCATTTATTACATATAAACCAACAAGTAAATGCCATCTAGCCAAGCTAAGCAGATTTTCCCAAAATGACATATTTTAACAATGTAATTGTATAATTATCAGAACTTATAGGTGAGTTAGGTTAGATAGAGTTAGTATCGGTATTGGCCAAAGATCAGGTATCAGTATCAGAAGGGAAAAAGTGGTATCGGTGCATCTCTAATTGCTATGGTATCCCAGGTGGTTGCTAATGTATCTATGAGGGGCAGTGTGTTTTTTGTGACATCATACCAGCATTCATTTCCTATCTTGTTTGAAAGAACACTGTACGGAAACCATACATATAGAAATCGGGACCCATTGGAGGATCCTGTTTTTTTTTTAAGTGGTTAACTAACAACATTAACAGCTTGAGCTCCAATAAAAAAAATATTACTCACCACCCCCCCTAAAGGTGTTATTAACAACCATCAGATAAACAAACACTACTCACTGCCATCCTCTAAATGCGTTATAGCATCAGTCAAAAGTTAGAGCTTTTGTTGTTTTGGTGAAAACCAACAGATAAAAAGCTTAAATAATTGCAATCGGTTTAAATGGTGGCAATCAGGCAATTATGCATTAACTGTGACAGGCCTAATGGAAATGCGTCTACTTGCATTTTAATGTGAGGTCCTCTATTATTAGCTCCTACTTTGACAAGCTTGAATAAGATGAACTCTAAAGTCATTGTACGAACAGTACCTGCCTGTATTGTTTGCATGATGAATGCTTTGTCACACCCTTCCAAACTTTAAGTAATGCACCCGTTAGACTTCATTAAACCAACACCTGCCATGCTGTCGGCTTTTTATTGGTGACGGCAGCAGAATGCTCATAAGCTGCTGGTCTAGACAGCACCAGGGTAGGAAGTAAATAAACGGCGATATATAAGCAGGTCTCTGTAAACATCTTTGTTGTTGCAAGAGAGTCTGTTGGGCATTCATGCTGCAATGGGAGAAAAAAAGAGGAAATAAAACGTGGATTGTACTGAGAGTAAGAGTGTTATATGACAGTCGTTCAATTGGCCACACATGCACACATCCACACCACTGACTCAGAAGAGGCCCCAAGTACTTTACGACATAAGGACCTGAAAGGACCAGGCCCATCAATTATTCTTTAGCCAAAGGAAACTCTAATTGTCTCACAGCACCAATGAGCACTCTGCAAATCTCTCTTGCTAAATCAAACTCATTCCATAATACTCTCCGCGATATGTCTGAGTTCGTGATGGGCCGCAGCCTCTTTGTATGGGGAAAAACTAACGCAAGTCTGAGCACTCACTCCTAATGTTTGTGTAGCATTCAGAAAAACTTATTTAAACTCTATAAAAACATACTATTTAGCTAGATTTCCCAAAAGTTTTGTGTCAAGAGAGCTGTGAGATCACTGGCGAAAGGCACTGAGGCGATTCAAAGAAATATTGGAACTGTTAACCTTTAGACCCCTCCGCTAAACAAACCCCGCAATGTTTGTTCCAGCTTCCAGAAAGATTCCTCACACCAAAAGTCACGGATAATAGTTTTGAGAGTGCTGTTTCTTTAGAAGGTGAAGCATTAAAGCAATAGTTCAGTCCTGTTTATGCACTTTCATTAGCCAAGAAGTGTCTGGCGTCTGAAATTTGCTTCTTTAATTCATGTAAAGAATCATAATATCCTGTTATACAATGTGAGGAACCACATAAGCAAGTCTATTTGAGATTACTGAACTCAGTTTGAGGCCAGAGACAGGGACAAATAGCATACTGAGTGACTCATGACTCGACTTGGACTCACCCTTAACTAGCTCATGATTCAACTCAGACTTGGCCTTAACTGACTTGTGACTTGGCTCAGACACATCCTTAACTGACTCATGACTCAAGTCGAACTCACTCTTAAGTGTTGGCAACTCGACTGGGACTTGCCTTTAAATGAGCTGCGACTCCACTCGTACTCACTTTTAACTGACTTTCAACTCAACTCTGATGCGCCCATAACTGACTCGTGACTCGACTCAGACTCACCCTTACTTGACTCAGACTCTGCCTTAACTGACTTGTGACTTGGCTTAGACTAGCCCTTCACTGAGTCAACCTTTTACAGGCTCACAACTCAACTTGGACTTGACTGACTCACAACTCAGCTTAAACTTGCCCTTAACTGACTCGCTAGTTGACTTGACTTGGACTTACCCTTAACTGACTCATGACTTGTCTTGGACTCGCTCTTAACTGACTTATGACTCAAGTCGAACTCACCCTCAAGTGATTCGCAACTCGACTTCGCCTTAACTGACTTGCGACTTGGCTTAGACTAGCCCTTGACTGATTCACTCTTTACAGGCTCACAACTCAACTTGGACTTAACTGACTCACAACTCGGCTTAAACTTGCCCTTAACTGACTCGCTACTTGACTTGGACTCGCATGATGTCGTTGACCTGTAAAAGCTTAAAGAGTTAATGACTTCACAATGCCACCCACCTGTGTTGGGCATGACCAAGCGTCCGCCCAGGTGCCCGAACACCCCGCTGCTCCTCAGCTGAGCTTTGCAGGGGCCAAGAGGCCCGTTGGGAGCCAGTAGGTTGGGCTTGCGTCCCTGGGTAGCACTGTAGCCCTCCGTGTGCGCCTTGACGTGGTACTCGGCCCGGTCCGCCACACCTAGTGAAACCATAAAGGAGCTCTGAACTTTGACCATCATGTCGGGCAGGGGGTCAAAGAGCTCTTTGTCTAGGGTGTCCTGGAAGCAGATGGGGCCACTGTAGGTCTGGCCCGCCGTTAGCTCGGGCTGCATGGAGGAATTCAGAAGCAGAGGGTTGCCTGGGGAAGACGGAGAGACAGGCCGTGGTATAGTTATGGTTTTCGTCTCTAAGCCGGGGACAGGGTTTGCACTGGACTGACAGAAACAGACAGGCCACAAGGAAGAGAATGAAGTTACAGTAAAGCAGGAGATAAGCGCTCTGCAGAGCACTTGACCTTGGCCTGAAAACAGAGGCTGTCAAAAGAAAAGGACTTCATATTTCATTTGTTGACTGAAATATTAAACAGCAGAGCGAACAAAAAGAAGTGCATTTATTTATTTATCTATTCATTTATCCACGAATGCCGGAGAGCTCGAGCTGAGGAGAGCTCAGACTGCGGGGGATCATTTCAGAAGCAGCGCCAAATGAGAAAAGCTCCTCCATCAACAGTCACGTGGGTAAATGTTTTGTCTTTAGAACCAGTGAATGCAAAGATTTTACTTTACGAAAAACAGCACAATCATCTGCCTTGGTATTCTCCATCTTTCATGAACTAAAATAAATAAATAATCACGCTGTCATTTATCATTTAATAACTCCATGTGCTCCCCAAAATACTTCACATACTGAATAAAACATCTAAAAAACATCTGTGTGGTTTTTTATTATTCAGATCTACACTGCATAAGTTATTATTAGAGAAGTAACAAAAACTGTGGCAACACTTTGTTTTGATGGTCCGCTGTAGATGCTGTCTTCAACTACGTACTCAGCTTTTCTAACCCGAGAACGAGGGGGTTGAACTGGGCCGAAGCGCATTAGAGTGGAGCTCCAGCACCTCTGATTCGTGTAAATGGTAAACAGAGCTGAGCTCCGGTCCTGTAATTTGATGGAAATGTAAATTGTTTCCAATCTAATCTTCACAAAATCCATTTAACTACTGGATGTGATAAACCGAGCTGAGAAATATTCTCTAAAAAGCTTCATATCCTCGCATTCCAGCCCAGTTCGTTTTTTTTTTTATTTATTTTTTGCCTCTGCATGTTTAAGTGGCACATCCTCCTTTTATCCTTCGGCCAATTTTCACATTCATGTATGTATGTACTTATCACTCCCTCTGTTTAATGATGTGCTGACCTGATAAATAGATTTGTTCAAATTTCATTATAACTCAAACAGTAGTCTAGATTATTGGTTAATTGATTAATTGATTAATTTGATTAAGTTGATTAATGATTTTTGGTAGGAAGGCTAGAAATACTAGTAGTTTGAGAAGCATGTCAAATCTCACTGGCTGGCTCTGAACACTTTGCACAGAGGTGAAGTCTCTTCTACCAGTCACTTAAAAACAGAAAGCACAGTTGCGAAGGACAGGAAAGTTCCTGATGTCATATCATTTCTTAACTTGAATCAGAAATGAAAATAATGAACTGACAAAGGCCCAATCCCATTTCACCCCTCGCCCCTACCACTTAGCCCTAAGCCCTCCGTTTTGCGGATTCATGCCTAGGGATAGGGCGTCCCAATTTTTGTTGAGTTAGAGGGGGAGGGCGAAGTGTTTAGGGCTACATCGCCCTCCAAACGGAGGTTTTTCAGAAGCTCACTCCAAACTGAGTGTTATGAGAAAAAAAAGCTGGCAAGATGGCTGAGCAAGTGACCAAAGAAACCCACAAATGTGAGTATTTTCTTTTTTAAAAATAAACCATTGTATTATCTTAGTTTAATGTCGTTTCAGTGTATTATTGTCTATTTCTTCATAACAAGCATGAAAAATTGCTAGTAGTTTGCTGATGTCTTGGTAGTTAGCTGGCTAAATTTCCCATTCCACCTTAAATGGTGCAGCAGTTACATTCTGGCTCCTCAGGCATCAGAACTGCTGCTCCATTTAAGGTGGAACAGGAAAATGTGAACACAAAGCTGGCGAATAGCTGACTTAAGCTTTATATCACTGAAGAATTAGGGGTGGGTGATAATAAATAATTGCCCCCCTCCTCTTTGAAGGCATATGATGTCCTAAATGTAACTAAAGCCCAGCAGTGAGGTGGCTGAACTTTACCCTCCTCTGCTATCACTGCAGACTGGCAGGGTCACCTACAGAGCGCCGCTAGTAGCCTGTTAATAAAGTAATGTTTGTTATTTGTCCCATGTCATAGGGGAAGATGTCAACCACTACCCTTTGTGACTCTGAGGCAAGGAGACCCTCGAAAACAAAGGGGGAGGGGTAAAAATAAGAAATGTGATCGGGCCAAAGAATACGTAAAACAGCCAAGTAAACGAACTGCCTTAGGTAAGCCATTAAGACGTTTTCATGGTATCTGTGTGAAACTCCATGTAAAACCATATCTAACAATTAACTCTCCACTTTCTTGACACCCATGGAAAAATAGGGGTTTCCTAATTCCAAAATCCCAATTTGACCCCTGCCTAAACCTAACCATGTCCCCACCCTCAAGCTAAGATTTCACTCTAACCTTAACCTCAATAAGGCAGCATATTTCAAACAATGAATGAACTAAACAAAATCAACTACCAGTGAACACGCTGTTCTAAGTACACTTAAAAAATACTAACGCTTCACTGTGGGGCTGCATTCATAAGGCACACTGACACATACATAAGCCCTTCATAACAACTGATTTTTACCTATATAAAATTGTAAAAAGCTCTGTATAAAGTATTAGTAAACAGTTAATAGGGGCTGGAGATTGCCCACAGAAGTGCACAGACTTTCCGATGTAAACTGCACGCTAACATCACCACAGCTCTCAATCCCACCTGTCATAAAAGACTTTAAACTGGCTCTGGCTGTCCGTGCTTCCGTGCAGTGGCTTTGTCTGAATGGGAAGAAACTATTGTTCATCAAATTAAAGTTGCATCTCTGTAGATACACCTTTCAGAGTAAGATATAAGCCTGGCCACTGAACCAGTTGTTTTTGCTGCACATATGCTGCATTAACGTTCCATGATTGGTTGTTTTGCATGGCTAGCAAAGATGTTAGTCCTAAAAACCTACTCAGTCTGGCCTATGAGCCTGTATTCCAGCGCAGTCTTACATAGTCTGCAGTGGGACTGGTTTATTCTTGTCTTGTATTCCCACAAAAATAAAATATGTTGTGTTCAGTAAAACTGATTTCTGTTCTCTCCCCCAAGCTGTTTACTGTTTTCCGCACTGTTGCTGTTTTTCTGGCACTGTTCTCAACTTGTCAACAGCCACCCACAGCAAAAACTAGTGGATTTATTAGTTGATTAGCTGACTAGATTAGTTCACTAGTCTACGCAACTTCACATTTTAACAAGTGTCAGTTACCAGGTTTATATGTAGGTTTATATGAGTTGCCATAAAGACTTATGAGGGTGTCATTTTCCTTTATAAATGCCAGCTTTAGGTCAAGTGTTACCAAAAGAAGTCGGCCTTTCCGACATTGGGCAACAATAGACACCCATTCTGTGATGCAGGTAAGCTTGTGACATGTGAACCAATCGCAGTCAGGAGGAGGTCTCAGAACATTATTCAAACTCACACCACTTTGACATTTTGCCTCCAAACATCTTTTCCTGTTTGAGGAATACTACTAGCTTCAATTCAAACCAAAATCTAGCCTTAATGCTCACTCGAACCCTAACCTTAACCTTGACCAAAAACCTAGCCTTAACTCGAACCCTGATTCAAATCCATACGCTGACTCAAATGCTTTGGATAATCAAGTAAAAATAGACCATCAAAATAAATTGTGGCCAAAACTTGCAGTTCAACAAGTTTGCATAAATACATTAGGCTGGCGAGCTTATTATGGCTCGTTAGCAAGACATTTATATTCACAAGTTGTTTTCAATTGCCTGATTTCTTTCTCTCAGTTTTTCCTCTCAGCAATTGTTTGCCCTCTTTTAGTTATGACTCAAATCTCACATGGAGCAATATCATTATCATCACCCCCTGCCTTCTCAGATCTAGCTCTCCCTCCCTCCCTCCCTCCCTCCCTCTCTTTCTTTCTCTAGGCAGCTTCCATTTCAGCTCAGCTTGGGTGACCTTCTCATTTTAAAGTGACTAAATCTGGCCGCTCGCGGTGTGAACTTCAGCAGGGGGTGGTCAGGCTCAATCGTATCTCCTCCACCTCAGCCAGCGCGGAGCAGAGAAGTGTCTGGACGTTGGCATCCTGACTCCTTTCCCACGTCAAACTAACCGTAACCATCAGCCCAGCTGCTACCCAGCGAGAGGCAGGAGGCAGGAGGCTAATAGGACTTTATTTTTAGGAAGATCGTTAATTACCGTAGGCAAACTGACCCGCTGTCACAGGGTGCTGGATATTTCTGGTCACCGAATGAAAAAGTGCTATATATATATATATATATATGTATCTCCAATCATTTGACATATTTTAGCTGAGAGAATGTTTTGAGGCATTGTGATGATGGTTTGTCATCTAATTGGTACTGACATGTAATGTTCTGATGAGTCATTCCCTGAGACATACAGTTTATGAGTAACAGAATGCGGAGGCCAATCGGGCTACGACCACATCAAAAAAGATTCTAGGGACTCTAGGGAAGAGGAGCTCAGTTACTATGATCCTTAGCATGGAGTACCATCGTCTTTGACTGAAGCCAGTAAACCTGTGGTGTCAGGTGTGCATCAGCAGAGGAGCTGACATTTGGCAAAGCGTAAGGGTGAAAATTGAGAGAAACTACAACGACTGCAATTTTTAATTTTCCCAGTTTGCCTCCCCAATTCCCACTCGCTACCTAGATCTCTCCTTATCACACAATACTACCAAGCTGGGAAGGTGATGGTTGGCATGTACGCTCTCCAAATCTTGAAGCGCCACCATATCTTTCCAAACTGAGTCACTGGATGGCCCAACACTCTTGAAGGGGAACACAACCTGCTAACTGTGTTACGTCCGCCAACAGATGCCCACATTGGTTGACAGTGGGAAAAGGAAGCAACTCTAACTCACGCATTAGTTATTAACAGTTACATCCTACCTTCAACTCTGTTGTCCCCCTTTTGGTGGTGTTTCAATGGAGTTCACAGAAAGAATAGAACACCAGTCTGGACTGAATGTTCAAAAAAGTCCAAAC